CTTTCTTTCGTGAATCGAATGAATTTTGAATTTCCGATTCGTAAAAGTTCAATCTGTTAACAAACAGTGAACATCTTGATCTGTGAACATAAATATCATCGAACAAAAGGGGAAAATCGAATCTATAGTGATGAATACACGAAAAGGGTCTTCTAAATTCGAATCCCAAAACCAAAATTAAATGAACAGAAGAAGAGAAATAGTAACCCTAATCGCTAAAAAGGGTATGTACAGAGTTTCGAATTACTGCAGTAAGTCGAAGATTAGCGAAGAACGAAGCGTACCAGTCAGTGTTCTGATAACGAAGATCGACCCGAGAAAATTCCAATTTTCTTTTACTTTCCCGGGAAAATTAAAGAAACCCCAAGAATCTGAAACGCTCCAGGAGAAATCGCTCTTCTTCTCTTCGTACGATACGACGCGAAGAAAACCAGAAAAAGATTCAACCTTTTTTTTGAACGTTGAGAATTTGGTGAGAGAGGCGGGTTTATGGTAATTCTCCGTAATTTTGGGGTCTAAACCAAATCTTACCCCTTTATTTCAAAATCATCAATACAGAGCCAATAGAATGGGTCTCATTTCATTAAGGAATAAATATTAGTCCAAATGGTTTGAAAAATTGAATTAGTTAAGTGAAAGTTGTTATCAGTGGGTTGGAATAATTGTGTTAATTAACATCTTAAAGTTATGAGAGGTTTTAAGATAGTACTGAAAAATTTGTTTTCATAATTAATCAAAAAAGAATATTGTTTTGCTTAATTGCCTTTATAATTTTGGAATATTATTTTAGAAAATCTCGCTTGGTTAAATTTTCTATTTTATGGTGTGTTGTCCAAAGTAGTCCAGATAAAAATTTAAACATTTTTTTGTAGGGAAAACTCCAGTCAATTTGCATTAAATTCTGGAATTATTACTATCAAATTCATTTTATTTTCCTGTTTGCATTCCCTTGTTTTGGTCAAATACAGTAGTGTATTGGTTTCAATTCGGGAACTAAATATTTGACTAAAATAAATCATTCCAAATGTAATCAGTTTCCAAAACAGACAAATTTGTTGGCAAAAACAATCGGTTAAAAAAGTTGACCAAAGTAAATAAAGAAAGCTGTAAATCCGTCAATTCTTAAAAGAAAATTATACTTTTATTGTTCAAAGACAAAAATATAATATACTGTACAATCATCAGGAATATGGTTAACATTGTTAAACGGAAAATAAATGGCGCATAATCTGTTAATAAATGAAAAATTAAAGGACCAAATATCAAGTAACGGGCAGGGATCAATTTGTTAAATTAAAAAATCTATTTAACGGAGGCAACAATCCCTATTTTCTTCTTCACTCACAGAGACAAACACTTGACTCATCAAATTCGCCATGGCTACACCGTCGTCGATTCCACAACCACCGCTTCCTCTCGCCGGCCGAGTCGCAATTGTCACCGGCTCTTCTCGTGGTATTGGACGAGCTATAGCGATTCACCTCGCTGAACTCGGTGCGAGGATTGTCGTCAATTACACCTCTAAATCCACTGACGCCGAGCGTGTAGCGGCGGAGATCAACGATTTTCCGGCGAGTGAAGAAATCACCGGAAAGGGACGAAGAGCGATTGTGGTTCAAGCCAATGTCTCTGAGCCAAGCCAGGTGAAATCGCTGTTTGATGCGGCGGAGAGTGCATTTGAGTCGCCGGTTCACATTCTGGTTAACTCGGCTGGAGTCCTAGATGCTAAATACCCCCACGGTTGCTGACACAACGGTCGAAGATTTCGATCGCACTTTCAGGTACTGTATTGATTGATTCGATCTTTTGGTCATTAGTTATGTTGATGTGGGTCAATTCCAAAACTGGTGTTTAGTGATCAGTTTCTTATGTATAGATCGAATCAAATGGGACATGTTCTGTGTTCTTGAGTCAGAAATCTCTGTACACTCTATGTTCCATGTTAGTGAGATTGGCATCTCTAGTTTCAAAACAAATGAACTATGGTCAATGTTTTTTGTGTCTTATTAACCATACGTTTCTTGTTTCATCGACTGTTACAGACATTATGACTCTCTAATACTCTGGTTGTTTTGTATGGATTGTAGTGTCAATACAAGAGGATCGTTCCTTTGTAGCAAGGAAGCTGCAAATAGGCTAAAACAAGGAGGTGGTGGACGGATCATACTTTTGACATCTTCCCTGACCCGAAGCTTAAAGCCTGGATTTGCTGCCTATGCGGCATCAAAAGCAGCTGTCGAAACTATGGTAAAGATCCTTGCAAAAGAGCTCAAAGGAACAGGGATCACTGCAAACTGCGTTGCTCCTGGTCCCATCGCTACTGAGATGTTCTTCGATGGAAAGAGCTCGGAGTTGATTCAGAGCACAGCCGCGAAGTCTCCCTTTGGTAGGCTCGGCGAAGCCAAAGATGTCGTGCCTCTTGTTGGGTTATTGGCTGGTGATGGTAGTGAATGGGTCAATGGTCAAATCGTTCTCATTAATGGTGGATATGTGTAAAACGTTTGGTCTGCAGGGGTTCTTTACTCTTCTAATGAGTCTTAATAATGATAATTGGCAAATGTTGGGGTTGAATTGTTAGAATTGGACAATTGAGGATCAATTATAATAATAACCATGATTTGTGGTTTCCAGACGACTGTGTATTAATTGTTGTCAAAACCGGTTTAACATTGTTAAACGGAAAACTATTGGGGCCTAATCTCTAATATATTTAAAATATAAAGGGGGAAATTGGTAAGTACTACTAGGGGTCAATTTGTTAAAATATAAATTTTGAGGCTGATTTGTCAAACAACATGAATGTAAAAGAGGAAGCTAATCCAAATCAAATTATCAAATCCATATGGCCACACAGTCGTCGATTTCGCAACCGCCGGTTCCTCTCGCCGGCCGAGTCGCCATTGTCACCGGTTCCTCTCGTGGTATTGGGCGAGCGATAGCGATTCACCTCGCTGAACTCGGTGCGAAGATCGTCGTCAATTACACCACTAAATCCGCCGACGCCGAGCGTGTCGCGGCGGAGATAAACGATTTACCGGCCAAGGAGGAAATCACCGGAAAGGGACCAAGAGCGATTGTGGTTCAGGCCAATGTCTCCGAGCCAAGCCAGGTGAAATCGCTGTTCGATGCGGCGGAGAACGCCTTTGAGTCGCCGGTTCATATTCTGGTCAACTCGGCTGGAGTCCTCGATCCCAAATACCCTAAGATCGCAGACACGTCAGTAGAAGATTTCGATCGCACTTTCAGGTACTGTTTCTCTGCGTTATACTCGATATTGTTCATTGATTCGATTCTGGTCTTCACCGCTCATATACCGGAATTTCGTTCATTAGTTTGGTTGATACAATGAGATTTTTATGTTTAAATTCGTATCAAATGTGATATTTTCTATGTTTTGAAGTCAGAAATCGGCTTCTTTTAGTATCTTTGAATCGGAATATCGTGTTTCAGCAATTGTTACATATCTGGATTTTGATCACTCTCCATGAATCCTAATACAATGTTGCAATGTTCTTGAGATCTGTATGTCGAATGAACTAAATGGAACTAAGGTTTATTCGTTCATCGGCTGCTACATCTGTTCTTAATCACTCTCTGTTTGTTTCTTATGGATTGTAGTGTCAACACAAAAGGATCGTTCCTGTGTAGCAAGGAAGCTGCCAATAGGCTAAAACAAGGAGGAGGTGGTCGGATCATACTTCTGACATCTTCCATGACCCGAGGCTTAAAGCCGGGATTCGGTGCCTATGCAGCATCAAAAGCAGCTGTAGAAACTATGGTAAAGATTCTTGCAAAAGAGCTTAAAGGAACAGGAATCACTGCAAACTGTGTTGCTCCTGGTCCCATCGCTACTGAGATGTTCTTCGAAGGAAAGAGCTCGGAGTTAGTGAAGAAGTTAGCCGCGGAGTGTCCTTTTGGGAGGATCGGCGAAACCAAAGACGTTGTGCCTCTTGTTGGGTTCTTGGCTAGTGATGGTGGTGAATGGATTAATGGTCAAATCATTCCTGTTAATGGTGGATATGTGTAAAAACGTTTGATCTTTTGCTGTTCTGATGAGACTTAATAATGATTGTGTTCAAATTGATACATGTTCAATTAGAATAATATAAGCTATGGTGTGACTGTTGTCCAATCCAATTTTAAATATATGAACAAGATTTGTTAAATTCGTTGTCACCCAATTATTATCTTTTTGTCAAACCTGTAATAGTACGTAAGAGAAAGATAATTAAATACACTAATGTTAGATTGTTATTGAAGTGTTTAGCCTAATTACATAGACCGATTGTGAAAGCCCACAACAAACCTCGCCCATCTTGCGTTGCACGGAAACCCTAGCCGTCGACAAATTCAGAAATTCTGACTATCAAGATATTTGTGTGTCTATGTGTTTCATTCCTTGTTCTTGGTTGGTCCATAACAGTGTTATGGTTTCAAACGGTGTTACTCCTGGTCCCATCTCTACTGAGATGTTCTGCGAAGGAAAGAGCTCAGAGCAATGGTCAAATCATTCCTATCAATGGTGGATATGTGTGAAAGACTTAATAATGATTGTTTGGAAATGCAAGGGTTAAGCTGTTCAAATTTGAAACATTGGGGTTCAATTAGAAATGTTCAAAAGATTGTTGTCCAATCCAATAAAATAAAGAGATGCAAAAGCACATAAATATGTTCAAAAATCAAAAGATTGTCGACATCTAATTCTTGGTCTTTTTCAAATGTATCCAATTTATCTTTTTGTCGACATACAATTCTTTTTTTAAAAAACCTTGATACAATATCCAACTCTTATCTACTCGTGTCTTCGTTGGATTTGATTGGTAATTTTTTTTACTATTGTAAATGATAGTAATTAAAAAAAAAAACTTAATACAATATCCAAATCATAAGAACTGTAATAACATTAGTATTTTTACCACTCTTTTAGTTAAAAAAAACGTTTAGTAATATATGTCATCAATCTGGTTTATTCTATATTATTCTCACAATCCGAATATTTGTGGATAGACATAGCTCGATGGAAATACAACTTTACAGAATATAACATGGTTGAGAATATCTCAATTGCCAATAAAAGTCTAAAAACAATATACCCTTCAAGCATCTTAAAAATGTCTTTAAAAAATAATATCAATGTAGGACGACGAATAATCAACGCATACTTTTATAGTCCACAATTTCAAAAAAGCAAACTTCGAATAAAACGATTATATTGGATAAATAATAGATGCACTACACCTACCAAAATTAAACTTTTATATAAACAGTACCATTCCTTCTCTTCTTCTTTCCCTTCAATAATAAACACAACAAAGTAACTAAAAAATGAGTCAACACAATATTCTCGAAGCTCTAAACGTTCGGGTCGTGGGTACGGGCGATCGGATCCTGGTTTTAGCTCATGGATTCGGTACGGACCAATCAGCTTGGCACCTAATCCTCCCTTACTTCACTCCGACTTACACAGTCGTCCTCTACGACCTAGTTTGCGCCGGAAGTGTAAATCCCGATTACTTCGATTTCAATCGTTACACAACACTCGATCCTTACGTCGATGATCTTCTCAACATCATCGATTCACTCGGAATCCACAACTGCGCTTACGTCGGTCACTCTGTTTCCGCGATGATCGGAATCATAGCTTCGATTCGTCGGCCGGAGCTTTTCTCGAAATTGATCCTAATCGGAGCTTCTCCTAGGTTTTTAAACGACGAAGATTACTATGGGGGTTTCGAAGAAGGTGAGATCGAGAAGGTTTTTTCTGCTATGGAAGCTAATTACGAAGCTTGGGTTCAAGGATTCGCTCCGTTAGCAGTCGGAGCTGATGTTCCGGCGGCGGTTAGAGAATTTAGCCGGACTTTGTTTAATATGAGGCCGGATATTTCTCTGTTTGTTTCCCGGACGGTTTTCAATAGCGATCTGAGAGGTGTGTTGGGGTTAGTTAGAGTACCGTCGTGTGTGATTCAGACGGCGAAAGATGTATCTGTTCCGGCTTCGGTGGCGGAGTATCTCCGGGATCATCTCGGTGGTGTTACCACCGTGGAAACGCTTAAAACCGAAGGTCATTTGCCGCATCTTAGTGCCCCGGCGCAGTTAGCTCAGTTTCTCCGGCGAGCACTTCCTCGGTGACTTTTATTTTGTGTTTTATTAAAAAAACAAATTGGGAAAAAAATATGGAATTTGTGGGGTCCACGTGGGGATTAAAAAGGAAGGGCCTCTATTTTCTCAAATCTATAGAGATAAGATTGTTCACATGACACGTGACAATAAAACGCATGCTTGTATTTTCACCTTTTTTCTTTCTTGCAATTGATTACTTAATCACGAG